AGAGTTTAATTCATCTTGTAATTCCATATTTTGGCAAGCTCTAGATTTAAGCTACCTTATGAACAGAATCTAAATCTGTAATTCTATAAAGAAAACCCAAATACCATGCATTCTAAAATATTCCTACAAAGGACTGCCTGCCATCATATCTTACAATTATATACATAGGTAGACAGCTGAAAGTTCAACAAGCCTTTCCCGAGTCTCCAAATACAAGTCATTGACATTGATTCTGCCCAGTTACTACACATAAGGCTGTCTACACAGTTACTCACTGTTACCACCCGCTGTAAGATCAGAAGTATTGGTTTTTATTGCTGAATAATATTCCATTGTGTAGAGGTACCACAATTTCTGTATCCATTCCTCAGTTGAGGGGCATCTGGGCTGTTTCCAGCTTCTGGCTGTTACAAATAAAGCTGCTACAAACATGGTTGAGCAAACGTCCTTGTTGTGTACTTGAGCATCTTTTGGATATATGCCTACGAGTGGTATAGCTGGATCTTGAGGAAGCGCTATTTCTAATTGTCGGAGAAAGCACCAGATTGATTTCCAGAGTGATTGTACAAGTTTACGTTCCCACCAGCGGTGGATGAGGGTTCCCCTTTCTCACATCCTCTCCAGCATGTGCTGTCACTTGAGTTTTTGAAATTTGCAGGTAAATGGTGGGAACTGGAAAAGATCATCCTGAGTGAGGTATCCCAGAAGCAGAAAGACACACAGGGTATAGACTCACTCATAAGTGGATATTAGACATATAATATAGGATAAACCTACTAAAAGCTGTACACCTAAAGAAACTAATCAAGAAGGAGGACTCTGGCTAAAATGCTCAATCCCCATTCAGAAAGGCAAAAAAGATGGGACATCCGAAGAAGGAGAAAAGAGGGAACAGGACAGGAGCCTACCACAGGGGGCCTCTGAAAGGCTCTACCCTGCAGGATATCAAAGCAGATGCTGAGACTTATGGCCAACCTTTGGGTAGAGAGCAGGGAATCTTATGAAAGAAGAGGGAGATAGTAAGACCTGGAGAGGACAGGAGCTCCACAAGGAGAGCAACAGAACCAACAAAATCTGGGCCCAGGGGTCTTTTCTGAGACTCATACTCCAACCAAGGACCATGCATGGAGATAACCTAGAACCCCTGCACAGATGTAGCCCATGGCAGTTCAGTGTCCAAGTGGGTTCCATAGTAATGGGAACAGGGACTGTCTCTGACATGAACTGATTGGCCTGCTCTTTTATCACCTCCCCATGAGGGTGGAGCAGCCTTACCAGGACACAGAGGAAGACAATGCAACCACTCCTGATAAGACCTGATAGACTAGGATCAGAAGGAAGGAGAGGAAGACCTCCCCTATCAGTGGACTTGGGGGGGGGGTAGAAAAGAGGGTAGAAAAGAGGGAGAGAGGATCGGATTGGGAAGGGAGGAGGGAGGGAGCTACAGGGGGGATACAAAGTGAATAAATTATAATTAATAAAATTAAAATTAAAAAAATAAATACAAAAAAAAAAAGGAACAGAAGTATTGGGTTACTTGAGCTGACTTTTAGGAAGGAAGCCCTGAGGACTGAAGAGAGGGACCAACACAGAGGAACTAGGTTTGGCTCCCAGCTACATGGCAGCTCACAAGCCTTCATTACTCCAACTCCAGTGTATGTGATGCCTCCTTTGACCTCCAAGGGCTCAGGCACACACGTGGTGCATACAGGTACACCCCAGCACAGACGAGAAAGGGAAATGAGCACAAAGTCCCACCAGTGACCAAGAAGCTATGTTGCAATGGATACCTGCTGGGACAGGGAAAATCCTTTTCTTCAAAGTGACACTGGGTATCAACCAGAGTCCAGGGCAGGCCACAGGCTCAGCAGTAATTGGCCAATAAACTCCTTGTGGGGATTTTGGTTGTTGTTGTGTTTGAGAAGAGACATTTATGTGTGTGTATTTTGTGTGTGTGTGTGCATGTGTGCCTTTTTTTTCATTTTTTAAGAGAAAGATATATGAAGTTGAGTGAGTAGGAGTAAGGGAAAAGAATATGATGAAAACATATTATATGTACATTTTAAATTAAATTTAAATTTTAAAAACTTAAAAGGCTATTGAGAGGGCCTAGTGGTTACAAGCACTGACTGCTCTTACAAAGGACCCACGTTCAGTTCCCAGCACCCACACGATGGGATAAGAACTGTCTGTAACTCCAGTTCCAGGGGACCTGTAGCTGTGGTCTCTGCAGGCGTGGCACACATGTGGTGCACAGACATACATGCAGGCAAACAGCCATTCTCATAAAAAAAAAAAAAACTTTCACAAAAATTTTTAAAAAAGAGATGTATTCTGCCTACCTGTTCTCCTACACCTGCATGTCCAGCCTCAACTTATGACTAGATTTATAACCTCAGAAGCACACTGTGTGAAAGGTCTAAAGGAGCAGAGCGCTACAGTCTGTGGATACTGCACTGAAATCACCAGGGGAGTTGTCAATACAGGTTTGTATAGAGGACCAAGTAAAAGAAATGAAGTCTACCACAATGATGAGGGCACATGCCAAAAGAAGTACAACCACTTAAAACACACCAATTAGCAATGTAAACAATACAACAGGGGTCAGAAATGGTCCAAAACCCACAACTATATCAAAGCCAATTTGCAAATACCTAGGAAACAATGATAAATATGTGACAGGAATGGTTTAAAATTCTCCATATGATCCGGGCATGGGGTGCACTCCTTCAGTCCCAGCATTTGGGCGGTAGAGGCAGGCAGATCTCTGAGTTCGAGACCAGCCTGGTCTACAGAGTGAGTTCCAGGACAGCCAGGACTACACAGAGAAACCTTGTCTGGGGTGGCAGGGGTTTTATATATATATATATATATATATATATATATATATAGAGAGAGAGAGAGAGAGAGAGAGAGAGAGAGAGAGAGAGAGAGAGAAACCCTATCTTGAAAAACAAAACAAAAATCCACATATATAAAGATTAAATCAATGTTGCAATGTTAATGAAAAGCATCCAAATACTCCTTAAAAAATTCATAGATGACATTTTCAGTAACAAATAAGAAATCAAACTCTGCCCACCATGCCCGACAACCTGAGTTTGATCCCAGCGACCCACAGGGTGGAGAAAGCAACTGCATCAGTTGTCCTCTGACCCCCACATGTGTGTGGTGCCATGTGCACCTACACGCGTACTTACACATACAAAAAGAAAAAATTAATGTTTAAAAAAACGTTACCAACAAAATATGACATGAAACATTTTCTAAGATAAAAATGAAGGGGAAAAAGGTATCTGAAACAAGGGTTAGGAAATTCTAAGTGCCAGATGTAGAATAAGAAACTTTTTTTTTAATTCCAGCACTCAGGAGGCAGAGGCAGGCAGATATCTGTGAGTTCAAGGCCAGCCTGGTCCACAAAGCGAGTCCAGGAAAGTCAAGGCTATTACACAGAAAAACCCTCTCTTGAAAAACCAGAAAAAAAAAGAAAAAAAAAAAAAACACCTCATTTTAAAATAAGCAAAAATAAACCTTCAAACTTTTATTTGTACTGCTTTTAAAAGGCCAGTCAGTGAGATCACTGGCCTTGCTTGCCTTTTCCCCAAAACTCTCATATGAGGATTACATATATGTGCAGGGACCGTATGCCAGAAAAGGGCATCACGTCCTCGGGAACCAGTGACAGGCAGTGGTGAGCCACTTATTTGAGTGCCGGGACTGAGCCGAGGTTCTCCGCAACAGCAGCAAAAGCCCCTCACTGAGCTGCCTCTCCAGTACCTAAATACAGGACTTTCTAAAAGTACATGTGGTGATGTGTTCAGATATTCTAGAGATGAAAAGAAAGACATCAAGGACAACTCTTTTCACTCTTCTAATAGAAATCGATAATTTCAACAACAGTTTAGTTTAAAAACTATTTCCAACAAGAACAGACAAATGAAGGCTGGAGAGATGGGTGAGCACTTAAGAGCACCAACTGCTCTTCTATGGGACCTGGGGTTGGTTCCCAGCACCCATGTCAGGCAGCTCACAGTAACTCCAGCTGCAGAAACACAAGGCCCCCAGCCTCTGTGGGCACCCACACTCATCTGCATATCCCACACACAGACACACATAAACACGATTAAGCACAAAATAAATCTTTTTAAGGTAAGTTAACTGTTAGTAATGGACTTCACCAAGGAGCAAAGCCATACTCCAAGTGGAGGCACCAGGTTTGGGTCCAGTGATCCTGTGTAGAAGGCTTACCAGAGAACAAGGGGACATTACATAGGGTGCTTGTAAGAAGAAAGGCACCTCCCTAGTACACACTGTCTGTTGACTCTCCTCACGCAACCAGATTTAACCAAAACTGTCAGTGGGAAAAAAGTGAATTCTGAAAAAGCAAGTACCTCTGTCCTCCTGGTGGCACCGACATGTAAGAAGCCTTCTCACGGGAGGTGTCGGAGGACAGGACAAGGACCTTCCACCCACACCAAAGTCAATCAGTCCCACGCCCACCGGACTGCTGGAAACCTCCAGCACAGATCCACCTCGGACACACTCACTACATCTATCCACAATACTTCTCCACGCTAAACTCCCCACACATTTCGGTTTATGTAACTGCAAAATGTCGTTCACTCAGATTCACCTGCAAAAACTACCTCTTAAATCTATCCAAGCAGATTTTATGAACAACTGACTTCCAAAATGAAACACAGCCCTCTCTAGACTTCACTTGGTATCAGCTGTTCTTTGAGCCAAGTACCTAATAAAAGAACGTAAAGAGACAGAATTCTACCTATTAGTACGGATACTTAGAAGGACATAATTAAGGAGGGAACAATTTCAAATAACTATAAAAATATACTTACAAGCCTGTCATGGTGACACACTGTGATCCCAGTACTCAGTAAACAGAGGCACGAAGCTGCCCTAAGTCTGAGCCTGGACAATACAGTGAGACCCAGTCTCTCAAAAACAAAAATAAAACGAAGGGAGGGGGAAAAACATTTAATTTACATATACATACTTACAGCCTCAAAATGCAAATGACTATCCTTTAAGAAGCTTTGAACTTTATCCTTGGGTAAAATATTGAATCGAAATCGGAGCAGATCCATTTCTTGCTGAATAAACCAGCGTCTAAGATCTTCACTGAAATGGAAACAGAAACATGAGTGTAAGTTAAAAATCCAGAGACTACTAGATTCAAGGGGTTTTCTGAAACAATATTCCAGGCAAGTCAGATGCCAAGAGAGCAGTCAAGAGCACCACGTCTTCTGCGCAGTACAGAGGAGGGGTCTAGACATCAGCGCCTATGTGCAGCCCGTCTCACGGCCACCAGACGTGAGCACTGCAAACCACCTTCTCCCCGTGGATGCTGGGGGTGAGCCCCGGGTATGTCATAAACGGGGCTCGATACAGAGTAGTTTGAGGAAACCTGCATAATCGTTGAATGACAAAAAACAGTTCACCGCATCTAAAGTAACTTTCAAAGAGTCAGTTACATTGGGAAGTGAGGCACTCCTCTTTCTGAGGTGGTTTTGTCCATGTAAACACCAAAATCTTGAAAGTATTCTTATCTCTGAACACATCGACATGAGTAAGCTTTGTCATCTAAAAGTTTTAAGCTTTATAATAACTTCAATATCTTAAAGCCAAAATAGAAACATACTAATCCATAACACTGACATTCACATTATATTATAAAATAACTGCTGCATGGAAAATATATTTCATTTTTGTGAAGTGACTTTTATAGACCACCAATAATTCAGTGACTAGGTTATATAAACTACATATGGTTTTTTATAAAGCCAAAACTCTAGGTATAAAACTTTGAGCCAAAATGCTATCTTATGCTCTTGAGAAAAGAAACAATTCGAGATACTCAACCCATAACCTAAATAAAAAGAAACAACCATAGCTCTGCTATTAGACCAAAAATTGGTAAGGAAAAAAGCAATTAACCCCTTCTACCGCTAGGTGGGAGCATTGAGTTATAATTAACCAGCTACTGATTGAAACAGCTAAAATTTAATAGGCTCTTACATCTCAAAGTAGAAAACTTTTATCAAATTCAAATACGTTTAAGTAAATGTTTATTAGTAATATTGCCACATTTTTCTTTAAAGAATATCAAAAGTCATCTTCCAAATAAAATCCTTTATAAATTTTAAATCCCAAAATGTACAGCCTCTCCCACTAGGTATCCAGCAAACTTGCAATAAATTTTTTTTTCACTATTTTCCAGTAAAACAACTTATTCCAAAGAACACACAAGCATGCTCAGCCTGTGGCACACTGTTTCCCTTGACGGTGCACCTGGGTGTGAGGGTGCAGGACGTGGGTGGATACTCACGACTGACAGTACGCAAGGCGCAGAATGAAGTGGGAGATATGGTCCCTCCTTCGTGCCTCAAACTCGTCCTCTAAGTTCTCCTGGAAGACAAAGCCACATGAATGAATTTCCATGCTGGATGACAAGAGGCGGAGGAAGTGCTGATTCAACACAGCCAAAGGTACAACGGAAGCTTCAAAAACACATTTCTTAATATGCCTTCCAGGATAATTATCGTTTTATTTCAGATACAACCAGGAGAAACTAAAACCAAACTATCTCATTGAAAGCTCCTGTCTTAGTTTGAGTTTCTACTGCTGCAAAGAAACAACACCATGACCAAAAAGCAAATTGGGGAGAAAAGGATTTATTTAGCTTACACTTACATTATTGGAGGAAGTCAGGACAGGAACTCAAACAGGGCTGAAACCTGGGGGCAGGAGCTGACGCAGGGACTATGGAGGGTATGTAGTGGCTTGCTCAGCCTGCTTTCTTATAGAATCCAGGACCACCAGCCCGGGGATGGCTCCACCCACAATGGGCTGGTCCTCCCCCATTGGTCACTAATTGAGAAAATGTCTTACAGCTGGATCTCATGGAAGCACTTCCTCAACTAAGGCTCCTTCTTCTCTGATGACTCCAGTTTGTGTTAAGTAGACATAAAACCAGCCAGTTCATTTCCTGAGCAGGGCCCAACTATTTCCTTCCTACCTGTCACTCCTTTCTTACACCCAGGCATTCACCCTCTCAATCATTTCTAAAAACCAATCCTCAACTTCTTTCATTTAGACTGTCTTGGTTATAGGGGGAAAATTATTTTAATTCTAAATTCTAAATTTAATTCTAAATTTAAATATATAACCTATCTCCAAATGCTGAGAACCTTTAGAGAAAAAAAATATACAACTGTAGGAATGTGAACTGTAAGTCCCTAACCTGAAGTACACAATTATCAATGGAAGTGAGTTTTATCCAAGCCCAAAATTGGGAGCCTGAACATGTGTCTGGCACTGACTAGGCACAAGGCACTGAACTCTGAGTGCATAAGTGCACTTTTAAAACTATAATAAAGGCAGTCAGTCCTGTGTCCTTATCTGAAAGACGAGGACACTGAGGCACTAAGCATTCAAAGAACTATTCAGAACAAAGTTAGTCAGCACTCAGTAACTCTAACAAAAGAGGAGATAGGCCATTTAAAATGAGAAAGGTTCATTCTCAGCTCACAGACTTGAGGATTTTAGTGGTCATTTATTCTGCCATTTTGGGGTCTGTGGCCAAGCGGAGCATCATGGGAGAAGACACATGCTAACGCAGAGATAGTCACTAAATAGGAGTGACAGGAAGCAGCCTAGAGTGGAGGAGATCAGGGTCGCACCATGTCCTCCACTATGCCCCGATGACCAAAATCCTCCCACTAGGCCTCACCGTCACCTCTTAAAGATTCCATCTCCCTTCAAATACACCAAGCTGAGGACCACGCTTTTTAATACTTGGGCTTATGGACGACATTCCAGATTCAAACAACACAAAGCTTATAAAAAGCCAAGCTGGGAGTGATCATCATCTCCCTCCTCACTCCTCACAAAGGCGGCTTCAGTCTTCACCAGCTGCCCCAAGGCCACTACTGCAGCGCCTTCCCCAACAGCATTAAGACTGTGTATCCACACAAGATGTTGCCTTCCCTCCCTCTCCATGGACACAGCATCTGTTGCCTTCCTTGTCCAATAACTAAAACCTCCAACTCATTCGTTATGGCCTCTGATGGCCTTTGGTGGGAAAATGATTGTGGAACACATCCCAGTGTCAATCTCTGGCCAGTCCACCTGCGGCAACATGAGTGAGCGTGACTGCCCACATGGCTACATCACTCACACACAAATAAAAACTAAAATACACATGTGTATCATCTACGTCTGTGTGCATATGGTCTTCTCCTATCCCTAAAACATCTGTAATCTGCCCTGCTTCTCACCTGTCCCAACCGTTACCTCTATTCTGGTTTCTGCCCTGCCTACAAGGGCCCATCCAGATGCTAAATCCACCACACACCACACAACTCATCTTACGTGATCTGTCTTACGTTTCCGAAACTGTTGGGATTAAAAAACACCATCACAAAATAAAATGCCCCAGTTAAAATCTTGGCTGTACCTTTTACCACCCTAGGAGTACAAAGTCTAAGGAAACAGCGTCCTCACTTACAAAATAAGATGGTGACAGTATTTAGTTCTTAAGATGAACTACATTAAGTACGTAAGTAATGTATATGCAGTTAATGTACTCCCAGCCAAATTAAGCACAAAATAAGCACAATGCAAATGGCTGATGTTGTTTTGTTGTCAATATTAACATGACCACTATTATTCCTTGTCTTCTGTGACACCAATAGCCCAGTCCATCTCCTAATTCTCTGAAAGAGAGAGATTCTCTAATTCTTCATCTCCTTCCCAGACTACTCCATCCACTCACCTCAGACCCTGGTACCCTCCTCGTCCTGGCCCCCATTACCTTCTCTAATTATTTCCCTAGTGCATTCTCACTTGTTGATGCTAAACTTCTCACAAGCCTACCCTCCTATTAAACATGCCTTCCAAGACCAGATTTGCACCTGCAGATGTCCACAAGATACTGTCACAAGCGTGTCCAAGTTACATTTAGAACAAAACTCAACATCCTGGTTCCAGGACTGGCTTCTCTTACTGTATGTCACACCCTAAAACATCACCACCATCCAAACAGCTACAGTTTGACTTTGAAATGTCACCCACAGACTCAAGTGTTTGCACACTTGGTCCCCAGCTGCTGGTGTGAGTCTGGCTGCTGTAGAACCTTTGCACCTCACTGACTGCAGTAGGACACTAGGGACAGACCTCTGAGGGTCACACCCACTTCTGCTTGTGACCTGTGTCCTCTGCCTGACGTCTGCCACAATGAGATGAGGAGCCCCAACTGCTCACTCCCACCATCACGAATCTGCCACACCTTGACTGCTATGATGAAGTACGACCTCTAACACCACAAGTAAAACCACCCCTGCCCTAAATTACTTCTATCAGCTTTTTAATTAACTAGCTAATTAGTATACTGTTCTAAGTAGAAACCTGGGTATGTAACCATCCTCTCTAGCTTCCCCTCTAAAATCTTTTCAGTCTACCTAAATATCTCTTCCACCCTCCCCATCTCTCACAGCTTCAGACTCTGATCATTCCAGGCTCCTGTTCTCTCCTGTCCAAGATGATAGCAGCCTGCTGCTGGCAATCATCCTCTCAAAACATATGCGTTAGAGCATCTGTTAAGATGCAGTTCCGAACCAGGTGTGGTGCTGCACACCTGCTACTTGAGCACTCCAGAGGCTGATACCAACAGTGCAGGGCCAACCTGGACCACGTCACAAGTGCAAGGAAAGCTTAGACTGTGGAACAACCCACTCAAAAAGAAAAAAGAAAAAAGAAAAGCATCATACTGTACAATGCAGATAAGACACTGAAAGCCCAGGGGGACAGCAGTGCCGAGGGTCAGGAAACTGCTGTCTTCCGAGCATCTAACTGCATGTCAATCCCCTCAGCAGACAGCATTCTTTCAAACAATCTAAACTACACTCATCTTATAAAAGCCGGTGCCTAACAGAAGACCTTTCCCATAACTTAAGCAGGGATACAAACCCATGCAAACTGGAGCATTCTCCTCCACACCCTTCTGTTACTTACTCTGTAGGAAAACTTGAGCTTCCGAATCTCAGCCTCCAACTTACTCTGGTACTGTTCTGTTCCTTTCACATAGCTCACACCAAGATTCTCAATTGTTTTTAGCACTAGAAGGGGAAAGATTAAAGAAAAAGAAAAAAAAAAAAAAAAAGATAAGTCCAAGATGATTTAAAAAAAAAAAAAAAACTAAATCAAATATAAAACCTATGGATAGCAATTTCTCTATCTGTTCTTAGAACACGACAGTATTAACAATTTTGTTTTCCACAAGTAGATTACATGAATTGTGCTTGTAAGAGGATTAAACACCACCAATGTGCAGAAAATTCAAAATAATCTAACACCAGAAATTCTCACCCCGGGAAGATGGAAAAATGCTGGAAGATCCTTCCTACTCTACCAAGCCACCAACCTGAGAAGTGAAAAGGCCTGATCATCAGTGTGAAGAAAAGCTTTGCAATCTGGAGCTACAGTAATAAGACTGACCACAGCAATAGATGAAAAGGAGAAAAAAAAAAAAAAAGCCTTCCTTTCCTGATGACTACGCAGCAGTGAAAGTCAACCAATGGAGCCACCCTAAAGAGATGCCACACTATTCACAGGTTCCTGAAGCCACATACAAGCCTTCCTCACATCAACTCCCTCAGGCATGCTGTAACACCTCAAATGAGTCTTCTGCATCAAGATCTAAGCACATGCTCCACGGGTTTCACCCTGCTATGCTACGCACACCACACCGTCTGCACTTCCCATTCTTCCGCTCCGATCCTCACCTCCAACCACTCACCAAATCCTGCTAAAGACACCACCTGAGCGCCTCTCAAGTCTTTCCCTTTCTGTTCCTGCCACTGTGGATACCACGGTTGCTACACTGGGCCCTTGCCTTTCCACTTTAAGTGACAACACCAAGCAGCATCTCTATGACCTTTGCCCCTTCTCTTCACTACACTGGACAGTCCTAAGTGCCTTCTCCTGTGTCAACAACTCTTACTCTGCTGCTCTAGAAAATGAACAGTATTTCCCATCTCCTGATTATTCCAGCAAGAATACTCTGGAACATAAGCTCTCAGGACAGTGCTAGTGTGTGTCTCAGTCTGAGGCTAGCTCATTCATTTCTTCATCCACACAAAGGAAGGGAGGCCTCCCGTTCACTGGCCACATCCCTCGCACACTCCAATCCTGCCTGGGACAGGCAGCTTTACTTCTCTATGCACCCTGAGGTAGTCACTGGAAATCACAGCTCTCTGTCCGTTGGCTCCAAGCCTCTGCAGGGACCGCCATCTCAGTCTGGAAAGGCCCTTCACTTCTTCTGTTGGGAAATCCCTCCTCTCTGCTCGTGTCTTCAGAAACCTGACCAAATTTCAACTACTCCAAGAAACCTTCCATAATTAGACTAAGCTACTTATTCTCAGTTTTGTGCTCCAGGAGCATTAATATTTATTTCTACCAAAGCAGAAGGTAATCTGACATATGGCTTCTAGTCAGCATGTCTGTCTCCGCACAGACGCAGTTTCAACAAAGAGCTGATGTGCATCATTCGGCACTACTGTCTCCTGAAACAGTAGTACTCAATATGAATACAGCAATGAAGAGATGAATAACCAACCTTCAACGGCAAATCACCAATAGGTATGTTGGATGGTCTTCTGGGTAAAGATGAACTGCCTTCATTCATTGCCACACACAAACGAGAACCACACTTCCCAAGAACACAAACATTTGAATTGAAATGCCACTTACATTTAACTCTATCAATAGCCAAGCTTTCAAACTCCATCAAAGATATGCTTTCAGAAGGTGGCTGCAGGTAAAACTGAAGGCTGTGAGGGTAACAAGCGTTTCTCTGGTCACCTGCCAATCTCAGCTTCTTCCGAATCCTTCCTGAGAACTGCATACTGACCACCTTCTGTAAGTAGCGAACAAAAGAAAATGTTTAAATGATGGGGGAAATGTTAAAACAAAAGCAAAGGGCTGAAAACAACAACGTAGACAAGTATACACGCACACACAGGCACACAGCACACACAGACCCTTAAACGTGATTATTCCTAGGTGATGCCCTGTTTTCTACATACATCTGTAATAACGGAGGAGAGGAGTTAAACTGGAAAAGTTACAGGGAAAGTTGCACTTTTAGCAAGAGGGAAGTCAAGTGATGTTGCCTGTTCATCTGTCTCTGTCGCCATCCACAGATGTCTAAGAATCCAAGAACAGATCATGTCTGTCCCCACACCCCGGGGGGCGGGACGAGGACGGGGGTAGGGAGTTCCTGAAGTCAAGGGAAAGAAAAGCACATTGTACCTGGATGAGAGACTTGCGCCCCATCCTATTACTCTGGGGAACAGACTTACAAATCTATCCCTTGACTCCATTCAAAAGTGCCTCAAGTTCCCGCCCGGGCCCCAGAGCATTCCTGGCCCCGCGTCCTCCCCTCATCACCCCCACCCCGGCCCCCGTAAACATCACCTGTCACTCGGTCCCACCAGGTCAACTTGCAAGCTTCCGACTCCCCGATTTCTCTCCGCCCCAAATAAACCAACAGGATTTTCTCTAACCAGCCAGCAAGCGAGCTGGAGAAAGTACCCGCGCTGACAGCTGCTCCTCTCCCGTGGCGGGAGAGTTCATTCGGGACCGGAAGCGGAAGTGTGGCGCAGAGGTCCCACCCTCCCCGGGTCCCGCCCCCCGGGCTGCGGCGCGGGAGCGAGCAGGCCGCGCCTGCGGCTGCGTGTTTCGCGAGTTTGGCTTGCCGGGAGACTTTGGGTGCTGGCTTTGTTTCATGTTTCGTTTTGTCTGCAGAAGTCGGTTCACTCTGAGACTGGGTCTCGCGCGGTAGCCCAGGCTAACTTGGCATTCCTGGCTGTCCTCCTGCCTCAGCGTCCCCAGTGCTGGCGTTACAGGCTGAGCCACAGGGCTCGGCAGAAAAACGTCTTGAATGAACCGAAGCCGCCCCTCCGGGCGTGGAGCCCCCCGGGCCGCTCTGCCCTGGCACAGTCTGTTAGCAACAGCTGCGAGAATAGCGTCGGTTCACACAGCCCCCCGCGATGCACTCGGTGTCCCCCGCGGCCCTCGCGCGGTTACATCCGAGCCCAGACTTGAGGGAGTGGAGGAACCTGCCGAGGAGCGACTTAAATGCTCGGGGATCCCCGGCTGGCTGAGCGTCCTTCCGGCGGAGCTGCAGAGCCCCTGCCCTCTGCTGTAGGTGTTCGAACCTGCGGCCCCTAGGCGGCGGGGCTCCCTTAGAAAAGCCTCGGACTGGAGCCCTGGACGCTGGGAGTGGTCGAGTTTACACATGCTTACTGTATTCTAACACTTTGAAGCTTCAAAATGCCCACCTAAAATGGACTAAACTGGTGGCTGTCCCTTGCATTAGAACCTGTTTATATGTCAAACTTAATTCTCAAGCCACGCAAAGCAGGCTCTACTTCTAGACCCAATTTACATTTAAAAGGTTGTCTGGCAAGTAGTGACTATCACGGAGCTGCGTTCTCCCAACTGTCTCACTGTCCTGACTTCACTAATATGACAGTACCATACACACTTTCCCTCTGTGGCATATACACAATTGACATCACCAAGTCCAAAGAAACTCCTAAAACACGTGAACTGCTTTTTTTTTTTTTTTTGGGGGGGGGGGGGAGTAAAACACGCTGGAGCACAAAACAAAAAAGAAACATGACTAGTCTGATGATACCATAGAAATTTAAATGAAATAACAAAGACTAAAAAAAAAGTCTAAATATCTGACTATATAAAAAAACAAAATTGTGCATCTAAAAAAGTTCACAGAATTATTTTGCAGTAAGAAAAGATTTAGCATAAATACACCATCAGAATTAAAGAATATCAATTTATTAAAGAAAAATTCTTACACAAACTGAAAAAATCAGCTCATAAAGTAACCAATTATATGAAAATGTTTACTATCAGCAGTGAAGTTTGTCCTTACAAAATTGACAAATATTTCAAAATAAAAGTGTTAATCGTGATCACTTATGTCGTTCATAAGTAAAAGAAGGCCCCGCCCCTTCTTTCTGATTCCCATATGGTGCTATTATTTTTTTCCACACTCTATTTTTGAGACAAGGTCTCACTATATAAACCATGCTACTCTGAAAATGGATGTGTAGGTCGGACTAACCTTGAATGACAAAGATCTTTCTGTTGCTTCTGCCTCCCTCCCCAGTGCTAGAATTGAGGGCATGTGCCACCAAACCCCATTTATTTTTTATATGTTTATAACCCTCTACTACAGAGGGTCTTCAGGTTTTCGGAACATAAACTACTAGAAAGTATGATGAATTGTCTCCTAAGAAAAATGCACCTAAAAGACAGTATTATACCGTTTCAAAAGGTTCATGGCCACCACTTGTGGCTTGTTAGGAATTCCATGAGTACTTGACTTTTTTAAGTTTTTTTTTTTTTTTGACAGCACCTTTTATTTATCTTCATACTGTATACAGTCCCTTAAATACCTACCAAAATATTTTCGAAATTAAAATATGAAGTGACTAATGTCATCTTATGACTAATTTATAAGGAACTAGGAAGATATGTCGAAATCTTATTGTGTCATGTAATAGCTGCCTTAACATCATTAAAACCCTATTTTGTTTTTGGTTTTATGTATTTATATGTAGGGTCTGCTTGTCTGACAAGCGCCTCTTGCATGCAGTGACAAAGAGAGGCCAGAAGAGGGCAGCGGATCCCCTGGGACTGGAGTTAAGAGACTTGTAATCCACCCTGTGGGAGCTGGGATTTGAACAGGAATGCTCCAAAAAAGCCATCTCTCCAACCCCCTAAAAGCCTATATTTGATCTCAGAGAACAAAATAGCCTGAGTCTGACAGCTATACCAGCACCATTATTTTCTAATATCAATGTGGGTCACTGCACACAGTAAAAACTTTTCTGTATCCAGAGGCAATTGGAAAGCAGACACCCCTGTCAGAGCATCGATAGCACACAGCACTGTGGACATTTCAGAGGTACTTTCAGTGCATGAGCTCTCTTGCACATTCATTTCATCAAGAATGACGGCAAACAAGACTCTCCACAATCTACAGACACTGGCCTCACCACGGTGGGGGGAAAAAGATACAAACACAATTTTACTTTGGCTAAACCATAAGCGGTCAAAAAAACAGGGACTGCTGTGCCATTTCTGTAACCACAGCTTCTGGATTCCAAGAGCCTTCAATAAATATTTATGAAACAAGATTGATGAGTGCTGGAGATATGTGTGAGTAGAATGTTGGATTCGGCTTCACATTAAACAGATGGTTTGAATCTAATATGACGCTAACCTAAGAAACTCCAAGTACTCATCTGAAAACTTTATACACATTCCTTCCAGAATGACTTGGCTCCCCAGTTTGTCCCATAATAAAGCACAGAGTCCCTTTCGCAGCATAATTTCCGTGAATCATCACTGCTCTGGACAATACCATCCGCAGACAGACTAACCCAGATGGCATTCACCCTTATTTGACTTAACTCCTCCAGAACTTCTATTCTTCGGTGCATTACACAGTTGAGAGTTTAGAAGCCATACTTGGAAAGTCAAAGTGCATCCCTTTTTTCCCCCAGTGTAGGGTGTGTTACCCTAAAGCCCAACCATGTGCTAAAGGTCTTTACCAAGAGCATGCTATAACCTCTTAAGTCCTGCCAACCCTGCTCACCATGGAAAGCCCAGGAAAAGAAGCCATCCCAACACAGTGGCTGACCCAGAAAAATGAAGGCAGACTTGGCCATCTTCCGCTCCCTCCACCCTCCTGATGTCATTTCCTGCTTCTGAGAGAGTTTTGGCTCTGAAAGAAATCTAAAAACAAGCATCCCATTCTTCCCCCCTGGGCTTCCATTAATCTAGCACTGAAGGTCAAGAGAGCAGGAGAGAGAACGAATCCTTAAAGGCATTACATGGAGGGAAAAAAACGCCCTTCCAAATATGAACATGGTTTATTTTATTCTGGAAATATCAGTTAGCCCTACTATGTGCCACGCAGTGTTTTCTGATGAAAGAGCCCCAAATCTGTGCCCTCTTAAGCTTTATCATCTGGTGGAAAAGAGAAATAAACAAGTAAATATATGAATTACTATAAATAACTATACAGATTTTGAAAGAGCCTTAGAAATTCTAGGAGTGGCTGAGAAAGGCTAGATGAGAATGTGACTATGAAGCAAAGATAATAGGAAAAATTAAAGATTTTGCTTGTGTTTCTCTGGACTGTGTATCAATGGAAAGATTGTTATAGTCTTATAGTACATAACACACTGTGATGTTGGAACAGGAACCAGCAAATTAACTGAACAGAACAGAGACTCCAGAAGTGGTTCCACACCTGTAAATAAGACCCGCGTGCGGCAGACCCACTGCTCAAGTCGAAGGAGAAAATGTGGACAAGGAGTAGTATTCTCTCTCTCACTACCCACAGATATCAACTGCAGCTAGTTGAAGGCCTACTCAGGAAAGGCAAAGCAGTAAGACTTTCAGAACAATTACATGCATGCTCTTCATGCTGTTTGGCCTCCAAAGAGGTCCTTAAACAATGCATGAAGAGGCAGGCACGGCTGGCATGCACCTGTAGTCTCTGCTACTTAGAAGACTAAACAAAGACTACAGTGGTGATATGGCATAAACTCGGGATTTGGAGGCCACTTGAAACAACACAGCAATACCACATTTCAAAAGGGGGAAGACATTAACAAAAGCATAGGAGGCTGGAGAAGGGGCTCAGCCATTAAGCGTGTCTACTGCTCTTGTAGAGGGACCCAGTTCAGTTCCAAGCACCCATGTCAGACAGCCCACAACTCTGTGGGACTCTAGCTCTAGAAGACCCAGCCCCCTTTTCTGGCCTCACATGTATATGTCTGTACATGGACAAAAACGCACACATAAGCACATGTGCATGGACACACATACAATTATAAAATAAATTACAAAAAAGGCATAAAATAATTTGGGAGATGGACAGCAATGTTGGTTGCACAATATTTTTAATATGCATACTGTCACTTACTGAACTGTACACTTAAAATGGCGAATTCTGTGTTATATATTTTAACCGCTTTAAAAGCACAAGCTATTGCAGGCGAATGGATGGAACTTAGAAAAGATCATCCTGAGTGAGGTAACACAGACTCAGAAAGACACACTTGGTATATACTCATTCATAAGCAGATTTTAGTCATATAGTACAGGATACACATACTACAATGCACAGACCACAAGAAGATAAGTCCGATGGACATCTTAGGCTTCATGTCGGCCCACTAGTTAGGGGAGGGGGGATGTCTCTGACATGGACTATGTTGCCTGCTTTTTGATCACTTCCCCTGACGGATTTCCCTACCAGGCCACAGGGGAGGAAGATGGACTCAGTCCTCATGTGAATAGATGAGCTGGGGTGTCTGGATAGGGGAGCTCCCCTATTCTAAGGAATAGGGAAGGAGAGAACAAGAGGAAGGGTGGGCCTGGGAGGAGAAGAGAGAGGGCCTATGATGGAGATGAAAATTGAATTAATTAATTTTAAAAAAGCTAAAGAAAAAGCACAAGCTAAAAATTAAGAGGTCACAGAATAGATACTGACTTGTTTGGGGTATATAAATGTTTCTGTGCTGTGTG